TATCCTGGGGGAAATTCAGAAGTACCAACAGTATTTAAATGAATTAAAATGCCCCCTCCCTTTATATAAGGCGATATTCTCTTATATACTTTAATAATGACATTCAGATTGAATATGATAATATTCTTTCTTACTATGCTCCCTCAGGATCCAGAGAAGCGCACGCCGCTCCATGCAGCGGCGTTCCTGGGCGATGCCGAGATCACCGAGCTCCTCATCCTCTCTGGTAAACAAGGGTTTCCTCTTCACCTCGATACGTCTTTAACTTTTCTTCTCTTGTTTTCAAACAGCCTGGAGATGTGATGTTCTTTTTTTAAAATGATATATTCGTCCTGTGATATTTTAGATTCATATCATATTGAACGCTACAGTGGACATGCAGGATCCTGAGGCTCATCAGCTAACAGCCCTCACCTGTGCTGATTGCTCCTCAGGTTCAGGTGGAGGTGCTCTCCCAGACACCTCCATGTCCACAGCTACACTCCCAACATGCTGACTTATATTTGCCTGCTATTAAAACGTATTAATGTCAACGTCCCATGACGAGACTTTCTAACTTCCCGTCCTTGTGGTTTTAAACATGAACAAAGGACGAGGAACAGTTCAAAGTTTCTTTTTTTCTAGAGGCTGAAAAATTTCTCTCAACACCTACTCACTCGTTTTTACAAAAGCTAACATGTGTTGGATGCTTTTTTTCCCCACAAAATCAGATTTATCAAATTCTTGAGTGATTCAATTTTTGCATCATGTCCATCTCTCCGCTCTGCAGGAGCACGGGTCAACGCCAAAGACAACATGTGGCTCACCCCTCTCCATCGCGCTGTGGCGTCCCGGAGCGAAGTGAGCGCACACACACACACACACACACACACACAGCTACACAATCCAATCCTAAAACAACTCAGGCATTGCAGTGAGTGGGACACAGAATTCACGGAGCTGGTGATATTTACCTGTAAACACGCCCCTCCCTCACTGCTCTGTCACATACCAAAGTTGTATCTTTGTGATCTGTGTCAAAGTGATTGTCAGCCACTTTCTTACTCCTGTCGTCCAAACAGGTAAAACAACATGACTGGAATAAGTGACAGATGGAGATTAGAGGTGGAGTGTAGTTCCTTCACAGTGGAGGAAGATATGAAGTGTTGATTTAAATGGTTTCACCTGTAAAACCTGCGTCTGAAATGATTTACTCATTCGTTCGTTTGCTTTACCGTGGTGGAGGACAGGAATCGCACTGTGTGACCTTTTAACCGGGGTAGTGTACAGACAGCAGGTTTTTAAACTGCGTCAGATCTCGTGTAAGTTTTATAAAATATCATAAACATGGAGGTAAATTGGAATTTGTGCAGAGGGAGCACAGACGTATGTGTAAAACACACACTCTCTTTGATTCTTCCTCAGGACGCCGTGCGCGTTCTGATCCGTCACTCGGCCGACGTAAACGCTCGGGACAAGAACTGGCAGACGCCGCTGCACGTCGCCGCGGCCAACAACGCGCTGCGTTGCGCCGAGGTCATCATCCCGCTGCTGAGTAGTGTCAACGTGTCGGACCGCGGTGGACGCACCGCCCTGCACCACGCTGCCCTCAACGGCCACACTGAGGTACTGTCACAGTTTCAGGGCTGGAACACACACACAGCTGGCTTTTCCTGTGTTAACCTGTCAGGCTGGTCGTCAATACGATGCAATGGAGGCACAGGAGGAACACAATCCACAACCACATGAAAATAAGATAATGACTTCTGCACAAAAAGGAAACAAGAGGTTACGATACAGAAGGAAGTACATGGATATGAATTTAATAATAATGAATGAACAATAATAACCTGGCACACTGAGTAAATTCAGGAATGTTCCTTCTGAAAAAAGTAGAAGACGCCGTCTCAGAAAGCCTTGTTTCCTCAGGCAGGTAATTCCAGAGCGTCGGGGCCCTGAAGACGTTCACAGCTGCACAGAGTGAAACATCGTTAACAGACAGGAGACATTAACTGTTCTGTAAAGCTCTTTGAGTGGTCATCAACACTACAGACCATATTCTGGGGTCGGACCATGAAGAGCCTTAACAATTTAAGATCAATCCCAAAACAAGCTGTTCAAACGATTCGAAGGTTGTGAGGAGATCGTATCTATCACAGCGTTACTGGTGGAGTGTTCACTGATGCGTCCCTCCTCAGGTTGTGGTTAGTTGATGAGTTTGAAGGAAACAGGTGGGTGAGTGCAGCTGCATCTCTGAGGCCGTTCATTTTAAAAACACTCTTCACGGAGGTGTTGAATCTAAAATTAAGAATGGGAGGCGGCAGATTTCTTGAAATCTGAATGGACAGCTTCTCTTTTATCTCCGGAGTGTTTACGCAACAGCTGAGCCGAGTGATGTGTTTACAGCGTTGTTATATAAAGAGCGTCGCCCACACACAAACATCCTCACATTCATCCTCGTGCTCGTTCAAACTCTGAATATCTGTTACACTTCTCTCTTTCAGATGGTGAACCTCCTCCTCGCTAAAGGAGCCAACATCAACGCCTTCGATAAGAAAGACGGCCGGGCGCTGCACTGGGCAGCTTTCATGGGTGAGAGACAAAGACAGTTTGTTAAAAAGATCTCACACACCCTGCTTTTATTTCCTGGAAGAAGGCTGATGCAGATGTGCCCGGAAAAATAAATCATCTCATTGTTAGTCTCTGAAAACCCCAAGGACCTATTTTATTTAAGCTGGAGCAGAGAAACGAGACAGAGCGGAACGAAGGAGGTGGTTTGACACATTTAACAGGACAAGACGAAATGTGTTTTACGTAAAAAAAAAAAACACTTGATCGCAAATTATGTTTTAAATAAGAGACAATAAGATAATCCTTCATTAGTCCCACGACGGGGACAACAAGAGTCGAAAAGACATCAGCAAGGAACAAGACAAACAGACATGATTGATATTCACATACTGCCAATAAAACT